ATCCGATAATATTTACATCATCTTTTAGATGACATAACACTGAACACTGAGGCTGCTTATTAAGAGTAGAGGGTCGAGGGGGGGGGGGGGGGGGGGGGGGGGGGGGAAGTGTGTCCTTCTTGTGTTTTTGGTCGTTTGTTTTTTTTAACTGCAATAGTCAAAAAAAAAGTGACTCGTTGATTTTGAAGCGCCTCAGGGCCCGGGTGTGGTGTTTTTTTATTTGTTTAATATTTTTTTTATTTTGTTTTGAAGAGAAGCTAGAAGTGTGGGGGGGGGGGTTTGAGAAAGGGGGGGGGGGGGGGGGGGGGGGGGGGGGGGTGTGGAGGTCGAACGAACAAAGGCGAAAATCATTTTCTTGTTCTCTTTTGTGGTGTATGAGTTCGCATGTAAGTCCGAGGTTTGGGACATACAATAATATTTTCTCTGTTTGGTAGGTGTTTGTTGGCGCTGCATTGCACAATTTGTTTTCATCCGGATGCACTTTTGATTCTTCTTTGCAGCATGCACTTTGGTGAATATCACCGGACTCCTAACAAGTTGCGAGCTCGCTTGTTGCCAAGACAACTTGTGTGACCCTTCAGCTCCGACATCAGCCCCGACAAGTGCTTCGCTTGCATTGGTTTCAAATGTTTGTGCCATATTGTTGGCTAATGTCCTGATTATATTTGCATGGTTTCACTAAAGCATGCGTGTTCGCCTGCGAGCAAGCTCTCCATTTATGTCCAGCCGCGAGAGACCGCGCGAGACTAGGGCGTTGCGTCTCCTTTCACGTGCTGCTCTCCCCTAGAAGGATGGGCTTGCTCTCATGCTTCATGGGCGCTAGCTTAGCATATGTTCGATTTTATTGATTGCGTTATTAGTTTTTTTTTAAAAACTAGACTTTGCTTTTGTTAGTTTTGAGTAGTAGTATGCATTTTTAATGATGTTTTAGAAAAAATAATGTTTTTACATGGCTTGGTCTGCGATTTTTGTGCCGTTCAATGAGAGACACCACAAGGACAAGTTATCCTGCCTAGAAGGCGCTTGGAAGAAATGGGCATAAAAAAGAACGGGGCGCGCGAGAAAAACACGCGAGGGGAGAAGGACTCGCGTGTCTCTCTCGTGCTCCCTGTTGTTTCCTGTGCCGTTACGTCCAGGCGCCTACTACGCAGGTTAAGCCAGAGGACAAGTCTGTAATAAAGAAAACCGCCACAGAGGCTTGTGAAATTAACACACTTAAACGTGGCCTTCCTAAATCCAACGACGCGACAGCAACGAGAACGTGGCTTAAAAGTGAATTTGCGTTCTAGCTTTCAGTCTCTATCGCGGTTATTCATAATCACTTACTTTGTCAAATGTACGGGAAGCCTGAATTTAAATTCCAAGGGACCATGTTCAACTTCAGCAAGTTAAACTGAAATTTTTGGGGTATTTTGAATAGAAATCTTATATAAATATTCCCCAATTCTGAACAGAATAACTCTTTACTAGGGGGTAGTTTTTCCAACATCTTCAAATTTAACACAAAACAAAACTAAAAAAGTGACGGGCTGTGTATATATTTAGTTAACAAAAACGAAAAAAGAAGACCTTTCCTGCTACAGTATTGCTGATATATAAAAAAATTCAGTCGGCTCGTATGTGGCCTGTACACGCAGACGTTGCTCCGTATTTTTCTTTTCGATAATCGGCGCGAAAATAGAGGGTCTGTGAACAGGCTGCTCGTGTGCAGGCATTTAAATAGGGGCCTTTGGAATTGAGGTCGAGTACGGCTGGCTAAAACCCTTAGTAGAATGATGCGGGCTGTCCCATTTTCCCGCCGAAATGACGCTGGTTCAAATGCGCGCACCACTTAGTACGGTCAAACTTGTATTTAGCGGTCGCTCTTAGGGAAGGCCAACTGATCGCTTGATACAGGTTTAACAATTCTAAGAGTTATCAAGAAAACTGATAAATATTTTGACCCAGCAAAATGTCCATAACACGACAAATGGACCTCAAATTGTTTTTGCTGGGGCTTTGCAAAACACAGCGGAACGCACAACAGTGAAAATGGGCTCGGTTTTCCTGTATAAATCCCCCTTTGGGGCCTTCAGCGCGTGCGCAAGATTCAAGAGCGTGCTAAAATAAGTCAGCGGGCTAAAACAAAACAGATGACCACTTGCCTGAGTTGAACAAAGCCATCTGAGCAACCTCTCCATTTTATATGGCGAGGGAAGCGAACCTTGCACTCGCTTCTCTTTTCGCGTGCTACTCTCGCGTGATTTCATGACCCCTCCCCACCCCCCCACTCAAATGGGGAGCTTGCTCGTCGCAGGCTGTCTTGGTTGAATGATGAAACTCAAGTTGTATTTGACTCTATCTTCTGTTGTGGAATTAAGGAAAAAACAACGTAATATGCGTTTTGCTTATTCCATTTTATCTGAATATTTTAAAAACTTCACTTGACGTTTGAAAAATAAAATCAAGTTGTAGTTTTAAAGAAAGCTTGAATCGCAAAATTTAATGACCTCTTTCATAGTTGCCTATTGAAATCGCGAAAATTAAACCCCGCGAAATACTTTCTTGCCAAAATCGCAGAAATTAATTAAGTACCAACTAGATATGGTGAATTGTTGATATGGTGGACCCTTTTACACGAGTAGTGATTGGTCGAATGATTCAGCAGTTAATCCAATCAACAACAAGTTAGAAAGGAGACGGTAGGCACTTCCTATATGAAGTACTCTTACCAAAAATACACGTCGTCTTCACGCGGGCTCAAGTCTTCTTCCGAGAAAGCACGTTCCTCAGCGTTCGTCCAGTCGTTCGTCCACGTTCGCACGCTTGAAATTTGTGATCGAAAATGTCGGGCAGAGAAGGTAAAGCGCTTAGAACAGCGATGTATAAGCGCTATATAAATTCCATTATTATTATTAAGTGCATAACACGCTTCTCCACTGAAAGCCTGACGCTGAAGCGATTTGTCACTGTTGATTTGTGCTTTCCATAGGTGGCAAGAAGAAGCCATTGAAACAAGCCAAGAAAGAAAAGAAGGAGATGGATGAGGTGGAAATTTTATGTGTTTTGATTTAATTTTAATTAAGCTTAAGCTAAAAAGCTTCAAAGCTCAAATCGAGCTAAATCGCTTTGATTGCTTTGATTTCAACCAAGGTTTAGAACCTGCAAGAAATCATAGATTTTCTGGGATAACGTAGCACTGTTGCATTTTGCATTAAGCCTGATTTAAGCTTACATTTGCACATCAAAGAGTGTAGCCGATTGTTATTTTATAGTAAATGTTCTGGATTTACCGTTTGCTTCACCTATAGCGATATATCGCTAAGTATGTATATAAATCAATGTTAAATCAACGTTGAATTACCTCACCTGCGATATGTTGTTGTCCTTTTGCTTCAAAAACGGTTTTTTGAGCAATTTTGAAAGATTTTGATCGAGTTCGCCGTTTACTGTTCCTAATAGTAGAAAGACAAGGGAGGAATCCTTGTTTTGAAAGGGCTCCAGGACGGGAGCGATTTTCTCCCCGAAAATCGCATCACCCCGCTTTCAAACTTTGCAGTAAAAAGGTCGAAAGATTCACGCTTCTCCTCTTACCTTCCGATCGAAAATCCTATGACTCTCGTCAGACGCCTCTCTAAGGCGGACAGTCAGGGCAGGTCCCAATGGTGTCCATCTCAGAGAGAGTTACATGTATTGTTTGTTGTGGATTGTGCATAAAAGGTTTAAGTTTATTGTTCGTCTTGTGATAGTCTATTAGTTATATATTGTTTGTAATATTTTCAGCCGCATACTTGCAGGTTTTCTTCAGGCGCAGTGTCAATAAACTGAGTGGGACTATTAGAGCGGTTTTCACTTGACTGTCGTAAAACCAAAACCAAAGTAAATACACTAGCCAACCAAAGGGCGTAGTAAAACCAAACCCAAAACCAAAACCAATCCCTTTCGACAGTCAAGTGAAAACCGCTCTAATACCACCCTGGTTGTTAGTGATTGGTGTATCACAAGGAGATTGCCAAAAATGCACCAACCATGAGTGACGTTTGTGATACACCAATAATTGCTATTATGTCATCTAATTTGTCTCAGTTACATCCAACATTCTTTAGTGTGAATGAAGATTAATTTTCCTTAGGTTATTGTTTGTTTGCGCGTTTAAAATATCAATAACTATTATTAACTAAAATATTATTCAGGAACAAAGGATTTGTTTGATTAATTTAGAACCTTATTGGTATCATTTTATGTTTGTCTTAAGTTTTTGAAAAGCTCCTAATATTTTTGTCCTGCAGAATGCTGGAACGATTGTAAACACATTCATTCCAAAGACTTAATTTTTGCTGTTAATGAAAATTTATTTCTCATTATAGAAGGTCGATTGTGTAATCTACTGTTTAGAAAATTAGTTATGTATGCATAACTAACGAAAAGTATTAATTTTGGTGTTGACTTCTTTGTCTAGGATGATGTTGCACTCAAGCAAAAGTTAAGGGATGAGAAAAAAGCTCTGGAACAAGCAAAGGACAAAGCTGGAAAGAAAGGACCAATGGGTAGGTCCATTTAGGCCCGGTTCAAACGTCGAATTTCACACGTGCCGAACTTAATGCGAGAGTTAAACGCATTTGGAGTGTGATGTTTGAATATATTAAATTTGACTGTTTAAATTAAATGCTATGTTTGCCATATCTTCGACTGAAACATTTGAAGATTCGACTTAGGTTCGACTTTTGATTCAAATGTCGCATTTCACACGTGCCAAACTTAATGCATGAATTTTTGCACATTATTATTATATTACTAGGAAAATTGAAAGCGAACAGAGTTAAATTCGACAGAGTTCAGAGAGTTAAATAATTTTGATGTATGAATCAAATGCCTTTTTTAACTATTTTAATAGACTAGAAGAGGAATTATTAAGTTTGGCATATGTGAAATTCAACATTTGAACTGGCCTTAGTTATTACATGTTTTTCTCTTAGTTAGTACATGCAGGGCTTGACAAAAACTTGAATTCTTACATGTCCATTGGGCAAGCAGCTCTACCATTTTGCTTGTCTGTGGTAACTACTTGCTTGTTCTAGTTTGTGTAAGATTTAGTTGCAGGATGCTTGCCTGGTTCCTTGCCCAGTGGCAAGTGTACTTCAAAAGTTAGTTACTTGCCCAGCAAGAAAATCTACTCATCCTGGACTACCAGACTGGACTGTTTTTATCCCTGACATGTTCTGAATCTTACACTGATCCTGTTCTTTTTTCTTTTTCAAACTGACAAAACCCCCAACTCATCCTAACTTTTGGAAATGATCCCCTATACGTCTTCGGTATTGTGAAAGTGACCCCCACCTGATTGCTGTAGAAACTATGAATATTCTAGCTACAAGTTGTGCCAAATTTTATCACATACTTTATCTACAGTCGTGATTGTAATATGGATGTTTAATGTTTATGGCTGTTAAATTCATCATTTCAATTCGCTTTCCATACTGCTTTGTACTACTTTGATGAACTGACCCCCTAGGAAATGTTCCCTTAACTGAAATTGACCCCCCCCCCTCCAAACAAAAATATTGTCAAGATTTTGTAAATGAACCCCCAACAAAATGCTCCTTTCCGTCACAGTATAATATGGTATAAGTAGATGTGCTTAGTGTGAGAAAACAGCCTACATTTTGCAACCCCATGGCTGGTTTCACAGCAAAATGATGTCTGCGGAATGAGAGCAGAAATTCCATACTGATGGAGCGTCACTACCCAGATTTGGGTATTGCATCAGATTGGTTGAAGCAAATTTCCCATACAGCACAACCAATCAGAAGCACTACTCAGATCCGGTTAGTAACACTGACAACACATCATTAGTATGGAATTTTTGACATTTTGTGAGGAAACCAAGGTTTTATAAGTGGCAGTTTACGGTAACCTTACATCACATCATGAAAACTTTTGTTCTATTGTTTCTATAGGTGGTAGCGGTATAAAGAAATCTGGAAAGAAATAACATTTGGGTTAACAACTGACTGACATACCATGGACATTGTACAGAGCCTGCTGAACTTATAAAAGGCACAACAATCACATTCCATGGGAACTTTTATTGAATAAAGTTAGGTGAATTTTCTTTTGTAAAATGTTTCACCAAAGGGTTTCTTTGTTTACTGGTTATCTCGATCTTAACATACACTTTTTTTTCAATTTCTTTCCTCCTTGGAGAAAGAAGTGATTTTGTTGAAGTATAGCAGGCTCCTGTATGAGCATGTTGAATTACAGAAACCTTGGTATATCCTATATTCTTCCTGTGAAATAACTTAATTTGTCTTTGGCCATATAAAGAGTCCTTTATGGGTGAAATTTGTTTACTCGTTTGTTCAAGACAGCTGGATATCAGCCTCATTACAGTCGAACTTCCATATCCGTCCACCTCCCATAAGCGACCAACTCCCATACATGTAAGTGACCGCCTATCCAAAACGCCAAAACTTTTCCAGCTCCTGTGAGCGACCATGACCACTTTTTGGGCCTAAAAGTTTAATGATTTTCCATTGTTTTTAAGCTCCTGTAAGCGACCACTTGACACATTCTCTGATCTCTATCTTCGCTGTGTGCACTATGCTACTTAGAATATACAACATGTACTTGGAAATACACATGGCGTAACTTAGAAATTGCATTAAGGTAAAAGTGCCCAGACCTCTTCTCGGAAGAGGCCCCCTGTGATTCTATTCTTGAAAGCGACCACCTCCCATAAGCGACCACTGATTCTTTTCATTTTGGATGGTCGGTTACGGGAGGCTAAACTGTATTTCTCTTTTTGCATTTATGGGGTCCTTAACTTTGTTTATGCCTATAGAAATGCAAAAATAGACCAAAAAGAACTTCTTTGATAATCTTGACCACAAGATTACTTTATCTAAGCTTGATCACTATGGTATATCTGAGAATTGAAGTCATAAATAGCTTTTTAGTGATATGCTTGTATAGATAGAGAATATGAGGTTTCTGTCTTGTTCATAGTTAGAGATTATGTTAGAGAGCCACGCAAAACAATGTTCTGTTGGGGGCGGGGGAGGGGGATCAATACTAGAGAGCCCTCTCAACTAGCGGTGCCCGTAGCAGGGACCATTCACAGTCCACTCTGACTTATTATTTATTCGATTAACCACCCTGGGCGCTTATTACATTTTGGAAACCTTGAGGGTGGACGCCTATTTGAGGTGGGCGGTTATTTGAGGCTGGACGCTTATTAAATTGTTCACCATTTTCAGTAAGTGTAGTATGTCTGTTTTGCAAGAAAGCAATAAATACTAATAACAAAACGCGAAGATGTTAACAAAGCAAGGCTTCTGTAAAATACTCTGAAGAAAACTCTTGGGGAAGTCTCTTTTTAGTACTTATTCAATTTTTTGAGGGGTAAGGGGAGGAACGGGGGTGGGGTGAGGGTGGGCGCTTATTTGAGTTTGAGTGGGAAGGGGAGGGGGTTGAGGTGGGGCTGGGCGCTTATTTGAGGTGGGTGTTAATTCGAGGTTGGGCCCTTATTCGAATAAATACGGTATTCTCAAACTGTGAATTAAAGATGAACGTCGATGACACGCATCTCGCCTATGCGAATAGTGATGTAAAAAAGTGCAAACAGCATTGAATCATGTCCTTGAGACCTATTGAATGTACGTACTTAGCTTTAACACGAGCCAACTTACTCTAAATGCGACTAAACCAAATTTATGCTGATAGGATCTGTCCAAAGGCTAAATAAATAAGCTGTTTACTGATTCCAAAAACAAACTTTCCGGCTGACAATTGACGTAACTTCCTCTGTTCAACAGGATAACCAAAGAATGATATACAAATACTCCTAAATAAAGTCACTCAGGCTTAACTAGTTACGCACGCCGCCTGATACGAAAACTCCGAAACCCAATGAGAAAAATTGGGAACTTATACCCCAACCAATGCAGTCACACAACCTCTTGGGGTTAAAAGTAAAAAATCAATCAATAGATAAATAAAGTAAGATGTAAAAAATGAAAGTTGAAAGTTCGAGAGCTGAGATGAATACATAACAACTGTCAAAAACTTATATGCCTTACTTTGATAGAGTCAATTAACGCCATAACGGCTCATGTGCGCTCATACCAGTCGGAAAGTAGTTACATTCTCTGTCACTGCTACTTCGTTTAGCTGTACCGACTGTAAATACATTTAATAAAACAGCATTTAAATCGTTCAGTCCTAAGTTGAGGAAGTACTTGGGAGTGACCACAATTTCTTAGTAATCTTGTTTTACTGGGTGGAAGAAGATCCACCAAAGGTCCCTTAGCAGAGTTTGTGACATTCTTCCACAACTTATTCTCTGAGGCCTCTAGAAGGCTTAAAATGGGTGTGGCCTCCTTGAGAAAGCCAAAACGAACTGCTCTCTTCTGAAACTTATCAACTTTAGATAGATACTTATCATAACTTGCAACACTCCATAGTGAAATGCCATAAGTAAAAAGACGTATAATCAGACTATGGAAGAGGTGTTGAAAAGAGTCTATACTAAAACCATACTTCATGCACACTCGTAATATGTGAATACCCCTTCCTTCTTTGCCAAGAAGAGAACCGATTTGCTTGTCCCAGGTTGTAGGATTACTACAATGTATTAAAGGAGACGCCTAAAAGCTTAAGAACTGCTTCTTGTTTAATATCAAAAGTATTAGTGGGGAGAGGTCTTTTAGCTTTACCCTTAACAAGCATATCCTTGGTTTTAGTAAGGTTTATGGTTGTTCTGGGCCCAACTAAGTATGTTTTTCACTTCTCGGGGAGTTTGGTCTTCGGTTCCCTTAACCAAGACACTTAAAGTTATTAAAAAGTCATCTGCAAATTTAACCAAAATGGATATATCAGAATGAACAGCTTGTATATCATTCAACATTAAGGAAAAAATAGGCCCAAGTATAGTGCCCTGAGGTACTCAACCGTTTATAGGCAAAAAAGGGTCATGTTACCATCAGCTATTACACCTTGTTGCCTCCTAAATAAGAAATTAATAATCCAGTTTATAATGTAGGGATTGATGTGCAATTCCCTAAACTTGTTAAATAAAATAAAGTAATTAACTGGCCTTAGAGAAATCAAAGGCAAAAACCCTTGCACAATCTGCCTCTCTGGTGTCGAGCCATTTAAGCCGCATGTGTTGTCTTTTAATAAGAGCTAGGGTAGTATTGGTACCTTCCCTATATGCAAATTGTTTCGATGATACATGAGATCTAATGACAGGCTCCACTTCTAATACATAAATAATTTTCTCTAACAGTCTAATGATAATATCAGTAACAGAAATGGGGCGAAGTTGATTCAAGGATGACGGGTTTCCTTACGAATGGGGGAAATATTGGGAAGTTTCCAAATACAAGGCACATTTTGAGACTTGATCGATAAGTTAAAGATGGAAGTAATTACGGGAGCAAGTTCCTCTCCAAATTATCTCCAGAACCATTGTAACAAGGAGCCTTGTGGTTAGCATAAGAATTTATCTGTCGAAAGTATTTATTCACTTCCTCCAGGGCAAGCAAAGAGCTGAGAAAAAACTTTTTCGATTCTCAACCACCCCTCAGTCACAATGAACGTTACTCGGGTGAAACAGGATTCAGATTTTCAGATTTTTTATTTTTTGCACAATTTCAAGAGGTTACTACAAAAGTTACAATGCATTACAAAAGTAAGAAAAAAAATTACACAAATCATCAAAGGTGAAATGTGCCCAGTGACCAAAGGAGCTTTTTTTTAATAGGCTTTTGAGTTGGTAACTGCCACGTACAAGTAACTGGCGTATACATTTACATAAAAACTACAAGTAACGTATAACGGTCACGCTTTACTTGTAAATTTCAGTTGAAACGGACAAAACATATACGTCACGCCGCCACCATTATGCAAATTCAGGTTGCAATTACAAAATCACTACAAACTCACGTCGAATTGACACAACAAAAGCTGACCAAAAAGAGCGCTTCTGGAATCGGGCTCATTAAAAGGTGTTAACCACCTGGTTCCCCAGGCGACAGTACATCTTAAAAATAGAACTTTGACCTTTTTTCGACTACTGTAGTACGATGTGCGGAACCTGTGTGGTAACTTTACAATAAAAGCTGCAAAAATCAGGCCCGGCCAGGGGGGGGGGGGGGGGGGGGGGGGGGGGGGGGAGAAGACTGCCCCCCCCCCCCCCCCCCCCCCCCCCCCCCCCTGGCCGGCCCCCCCCCCCCCCTCTCTGTTGTGGTGTGGTTTCCACGGGGGTGAATCTTTCTTTTATACCTATTATTATTATGTATTATTTTTTTTCTTGTGTTCTTTTCCCTGAGGAAGCAAAAAACAAACACACCACAGAAACAAAGTGGTGAGGGGTGTTTTTGGGGGGGGGGGTGGGGGTGGGTAGTGGGATACCAATATACCCCAAAATCGTAAAATGTGTGATACTAAATACCTAAAATTATTTTGAATCAGAATACTATATACCTGAAAATGAACAAGTCAGATCTTAATAAAAGAGAAACTCCTGGTTCACTGTCCTCTTCCGCTTCCTTTGCGGTCGGCCAGCATCCATGGTGATCGAATCCTCGTCACCTTGTCCATGCATCAACGCTCTCTGCAACAGAGAGTTGTTACATAGCGAGCACTGTCATAGTCATCAACCACATCCTCTAATAGTTTTGTATTATACAGTGGGCTGTTTGGAGCAGAACGCGATTTGTATATTCGGGAAACTACAACATACGTAGACTGGGCGATGACAATGTTACGTGCTGTGCTGGTATCTTGGTGTTGAACGGGGATGTCTTCATTGAGAAGCACATCAAAGTCAACTGAATATTGCGCCGGGGGTGCAGACTCGTAGAGGTTCAATAGCAAGGTGCCTGGCTTGTCTTTTGTTGAAAAGTTCCTTGTGGTATTCTGTCTGACACTCTTACCGTCACTGTACCCACTGGCGGATCTCATCCAATTGCTTCTTGAATAAGCAACCAGACAAAGGCTTCGGTAATTTTGCAAGGTCGCAGAAGTTTATATCAACATCACCTAAAGTAGGCTGAAGGTAGACGCACGAGGCCACTGGATCTGTAAAGTACCTGTAGCTTGTACCTGTGACACGTTTTAATAATTCGTTAATACATCTGGGAAAACGCAAGCAAAAGTAGAGCATCATGGGAGTGTCCGTGTTACCCCCTCTCATACTGGAAAAGAAGTTTAACAAAGAGAGTTAAAAGGCTTGCAACGTCTAAGTGTTGAATGAAGTTTGGATTGAGTTCCGTCACCTTTATCCTCAGTCTAGTGAGGCTTCCAGTATCATCTTCACGGAGTTCAGTGTAGTAGCAGATAGTGTTCCGTCTGGTCCTTAGGTCTGGGAAGTTGAGCCCTTTATACCCTGAACTTTTAACGAGGCTTCTTCGTGAAAAGCGTAGTAATGCTGGATGCAGGTAACTGTCTCATCAAAACTTAACCTTGTGGTTGCCCCAGTCAGATTGAAGGCTGACAGAAAGAGTCACAGGTTTTGTAAGTATTTGATTAGGGCTTGAACACAATTTCGAGCATCCGCACTATTTCACCTGAGCATTAGAGCGATAATAAAACTGAGAAATGAATTATACATTTCTTAGTGATTTCTGTACCATATACCGAATACCTAAAATTCAGGAAAACCTGAATACTTTATACCCGAATTTTAAGCAAAAAATACCATATACCTGAATTAAAATGGCCCGGGATACCGTATACCCAAAACCCCTGGCCGGGCCTGAAAAATTGCGAGAAAAGAGCTACCCGCATCCTGACAAAATCAAATTATGAAAGTTATGCTGAAAAAATTTTGGACATTTTGAGGTGGAAGAATCTTGGCTGTCAACAAAACGTACTAAAGGCAGTCGTGGTATTCCATTGCCTAATAGCTCCAGACTATTTGGCCTCGAAATTCTCTGAACGCAATACAAGCTACAACCTGAGGGACTCACAAATTTACATTGACGCAATAGTTAGAGAACTTTTTGTAAAACGCTGATGAATTGCCCATGTATAAACAAAGGTTTATTAGTTTAGTATGAATCGTATAATTACGATGTAGTGAGTTAATGTTTGAAACAACCACAAAACAAGTTTGGTGTTGTACTTTAGTTGTAGGTTTCTGATACCACGACGGCTGCAAAAACTCAATCGGTCGATCGAATATAGGCAAAACGACAAATCTGCTCCAGCAATACTACTTTCTTGGACATCTCACTGCTTTCATTGCTCGACTACGTCGTGAAATTTCGTAGTTTCACCTTTATAGAGGACATAAAGAAGAGACGACGAACTCCTCTTTCCCTTTCTGAACTCGGATATGGTTGTTAGTTATTCGGCTTCAGAAGAGTTCGCTTGCATTTGACAAGGCAAGCGAGTTGGAATAATCGCGACAGAGATTTACAGAACACTTCTTCGCCGACGTTCAGTCGTGGCCTTTGCTGTCGTGGAAACTCCCTAATTAATCAGCCAATGATAAGGGAGCTTAAGTAACTACGACGGCTTCGGCGGTGGAAACGTCACTTTAAATTGCGTGCTGTCGAGTCATTTAATCCCTCTATTATCTTGTTTTAAATCGGCCAAAAACGCGGGAACGAGAAAAAAAAAAGATCAGAGTTGATACACCAAAGATATCACTTAAGTTCGAACTGCAGAGACAGGTGCAGAAGGCACAAGTTTAATAACTGGACCCAAGTGTAATAAAGGTCTTATCTGTAATAACATTTGGACCCAAGTGTATAATAAAGGTCTCATCCAGCCTTCTCCTCAGGTGCTTCGTTTTTCGCATGGTTTCGCAAAGAGGCGAGCGGAAAACGCGAGTGACTAGTGACGACGCGAAAGGTAAAAAAGGGAGGTTTAGCGCCGTCTCGCTCGTTTTCTCCTTCCCGCCTTCCTTTGCGCGCAAATTTTCATCGAGAGAGAGAGACGTCTGGGTACGGGGCAGGGTCTCATTTGTTTTATAAAAAAACTAAGATAGTACGCGCGTTCTGATTGGTTAAAAACCTATGGTTTATTTTGTCGGTAAATGCATAGTTTTATTTAAAGTTATTTTATAAAAGCAACAGATCACACTTTCTATGGGTTTACCGGCGTGACAACCCACTTGGAATGCTGGAAAAATACTCGCCTTCGGCGATTCGGTGATTTACAACTGAAGCTTTTCTCGTGTTCTCCCAACATCCCGCGTGGGTTATCAAGCCGGGAAACCCAAAGAAAACGGTTGCTTCGATTCATTAACTTCTTTATTTTGATGTCAACCAGTGATAATAGGGACCTTGAGCAACGACGACGACGGCAGTGAAAACATCACTAAAAAAAATGAGTTTTCGTCCTTTCAAATTTTATCGCGTCTATCTGGAACCGCTCAATTCGTCAAATGTAGGCGACTTTTCCTGGAGTTGAATTCTTAAGGGCTTTATCCTTCAAATAGAGAAGAGAGTTCAAATAGAGAAGGGAAAATTTGTCGTAGTATGTCCACGTCCTTCATAAAACGTCGCAATGGGAGGTTTCACGTCGTAGTCGTGCAGTGGACGTCAAAGAAATGTACTTAAAAGCGTGATGCACGTGTAGAGCAGTTGTTTTGCTGTCGTCGTTGCTTAAGGTCAAGTCATAAAAACCTGAATTTACAATATATCCCCAAATATATCTATCTACTTCTGTTCAGCACCAAAACAACATTTTGAATCAAAAACCAAAACAACAAATTAAAGGGCGTTTCCATTTTGAAAAAAAAATCTGAATGAGTCCGTTAGACTGTTCAGTCCCATTTACATTAAGACAGGGGCATCCAACGACCGAATGTTTCCAAATACGCCCGAATTTTCTCAAATGCTTTTCTCTGAGGCCTGTTCGGTAAATTTGGAGATCTCTGTTTGTGTTCGGATTCGTTAGGCGGACTTGTTTCGTCTCAAAAGTTGCAGGTGGCTTTAACCGACCCTGATGGGCCCGGTCGAACGTTCAAGTACATAGAGTAGCCATACTTTATTAGGAGATTCAAGGGGACGCTTTGTCTTTACACCGAAATTTTCAGGAGTACCTTTTTAAAATGATATTTTAAACCTTGGCAATAAAATGTGAAAAAGGCAACCTCCGTCAATTTGAAGTAAGTCATCCAAAAAAAAAAAAAATAATAATTCGAATATCTTAGACGAATGGTGAGGTAATCCAGAAGATTTCGGCCTTTAATCGAATTTAAGAAATTTCTTGGCAATATTTTCTCTTTCGTTGGATGCCTTGGTAAGAGTGTGTTATAAAGGATATTCCTGCTCATCGTAAGTAATGATTGCATGGGTATTCACAATAAATAAATGTCAAATACAAGACCAAGTCATTGTGGATACGTAATGCAAATAAAACGTGTGAGTTTTCTAAAGCCGGGTTTTGGTAACAAGCTTTATATAACACCAGTTTTATTGATAATCAAGTCGATCAAATCCAATTTCAGACTTTTTAAAAAAGCACGCCTATGGGATGTCAAACCAAATAGCTAAATTCCCTTGATTAAAATTGTCTAAATCACCCAAAAATGATCGTTGTCAACAATGCTTTATCAGCTTACTCAGATTTACAAGATACGGAGATTTTCTTCACTTCTCCCATCCCTTGTAAGTCAGCCATGGAAATAATGTTGGCCCTTCCCGGCAGCGCACGACTTGAATAGTTCGGAGATATCTTGGTCACTCATCGAACGATCCCAAAAGTTGATGCCTGCCATTTTCCCCACGAAGCTGAAATCGGCATTGAAACTGAAGCTGAAATCGGCTTTGGAACTTTCGTCTTCCGTCCACCGGTGACATTGTCCAAATACCAAGTTTTCTTGGCCGGGGTCTAATACTACAGTGTAAAGAAAAAGTTTAAGGTTAAAATTATTATTCTTTTACGCCCGCGAGATTTTCAGTATCATGTCGTGTTCAGATAAAGACTGAAGAATTCAAATAAAAGGTAAATGAAAAAACTGTTTGGTGCGTGAAACATGCAACAAGATAAGTAATTTAGAAATCGATTGCCCTTAGGTCCCCCCCAAATTTTTTTTCGGGCCTTCGGGCCTCAGTTTGATCTAAAAATAAGCAGGGGACCTGGGCCCCCCGGGCCCGTTCCCTGGATCCGCCACTGCTTTGTAAGACAAAATGGTTCGTTCCGCTACCCTGTTTTAGACAAAAGATCTTATTTCTTGAGATCGATTCATTTCTTTTCTTACACAGAATTATCTATTTTTTCTCAACTAATATCACGTGATATTCAGCTTGTAAATGAGATAAATTTGACTGAGGAATAAGCGGTAACTTGAATAAAGCGAGGCCATACTTTTGATTTAGGAACTGTGCAATAATTATCAGGAGGGGGGGGGGCTGAAAAACTAGAGTTATCTAGCAAAAACTTAGACAGTACCCCCCCTGCAAAACAAAAAAAATTAGTTCTAACCCCCCTCTGTTATGTTAAAAATAACGTCGCACCCCCCCCTCCTTCCCACTACACTGGTAAACTCAAAACTGGACTGAGCTGCCATCTCAGCTCCAATAATGACAAACGTTATTATGTAACATCTAGTATCGAGAAGGATGTTGATTGCTTCATTGAAGATTTAGACAAAGCATTTGCTAAGTACCGGGGTGCTTACCACATTGGCTCAAAATCTAAAACTTCTGAAGCCAGAAAGAGAAAGCAGCAGAGAAAAAAATCAAAGAACAGGAGATTGAACGCTTCAAATAACAGACGAAAAAGAGCTTGTATTATATTTAGATCCTTGGGAGGAGAGCCTGTTGAACTTTGCTATGAGCTAAATATATATGAAATTCGGCAAATCGATTCAGTCGATGAAGAAACATTACTTTTATTCACATCAAAAACCGACAAAGCTTCTCTACGAGATCTGTTTGATTCCCATTGTTTTATGGGGGAAGCTGACAAACAAGTTCATGATTTTTGCTTTACATATGATCAGCTCA